CCTCATTGCAAAGCGAAAATGCAGGCAATCGTTCAGCATTGATAATGAAAGCAAATGAGTCGGCCTATTTGAATCCTCTTTTCTCATCAGCAATCTTCCTTTTTTTCCCCTTTGGGATTCATATTCCGAGACACACCTGCAGCTTTGTTAGCCTGGCACCGCGCCACGCTGGTTCCAAGTTATGACCACTGATCTCTATGGCTTTGACGCAAATTATTGTTTAAATTTATTTATAATACAAATGTTTAAAGCATTGGAAAACATACATTTTTGTTTGCAACCTGCACACCATATAAAAAAAAAAAAAAAAAATGGATTTTCATAAATTTTTGAAAAAGCTCCAGGGAGCCACAAGGGGGAGCTAAAGGGCCGCAGGTTGCCGACCCCTGGACTAGATCATCCAGGCAAACTGATTCAAAGTTTTCTAAGGAAAACCAGTTGCTTGCATCTATCTAAGGCTTCATTAGACTTTGTCCTCTGTGTCCCTCCAGGTGTGGATAAGGAGAACGTCCAGCTGTCCCCCAGCTCGGCCCTGTCCAGCGGGGGACGTACTCGCCACGGGTCAGCGAGTCAGGTGCAGAAGCAGCGCAGCGCCGGCAGCTTTAAGAGACCCAGCATCAAGAAGATCGTCTGACCGCCCTCCGATTGGCGCTGCCCTCTCTGTTTCCTCTCTAGTTTCTCCGTCTTCTCCATCCTCCTCGCATCGGCAACACAAGTGGTTCGGGATCTGAATGAGGGAATATTTCCGAGGGCGACCCGAGCAGAGCCGCCAGAGTCGCGGCTCTTTTTATTTGATTTTTAAACGGCAAAGGTTCTGGAAACGCTCGTGATCTGCACCGGGCTCTGTGTGAGAGACTTCCCTCGCTGCAGGAAGTGACGCTGCGGACACTTCGGCCTGGAAGCTAAAGCGTGTGTTGGGTCGGATGCTCAGCAGGCGCCGTGTGACGGGACCAACATACTGACCTGCTGGGACGCATCGCTGGCTCTCTGTCCTGTACATAGTTGGTCCAGACTGATGATCTACATCCGGTCCTTTGTGCTAAACTTGCTGTTTTCTCCATGGTGTGCCTTTGTATGGTTTTATATATGTACAATTTGTAAAGTTAGAGTCCAACCTTGCTGGAGACAATAAACAGGTACTAATTATGAAGACGGGCTCCTCACATCGACGTACGTCGAACTAAAACTGTCCAGATCTGCCTGCAGTGGCGGTCCGATAACCTTTGACCCCACGCCTGACACTATTTACTCTGTAGAAGTAGATGATGCTACACAAATCTTCCTGTACTCGAAACACTTTCCAAAAAAACTAGCTTTTTTTTTTAACACTTTAACCATGAATATGACTAAACACTATAAGAAATGCAACCCTGTAAATACCTGCAAATCTTTTGCTTTCATTGTTTATCTGTTTTCTCACCAGTTCAGTTTTTTTTTAGCAGCGAAACGTTTTATTTCTGATTTATGTGAAGGGCAATAACCTGTAGCTCTCCAGACGCTTTGCCCCTTCGTACAGCAACGGCGTGCGTCTGCCTCTCCTACCGCCGCTCATTATGTGTTCTCCACCCAGATGCTGTCCTCAAAGGATTTCTGTGCCTGCAGAGCTCAGACCGCCGGGCGACCAAAACCATACATAGAAGTGAGAACGGGCGTGTCGGTTCTGTCCGGTCCGACAGGATTGTGTTTGGCTGCGGCTCGGTGAAGCTGTTAGGTTTCAGTCAGCGGTGAGCTGCAGGCTTCAGCCTGACTGACATGTTAACTCTGTTTTCACTTCCTGCTCAGAGGCTGCTTTGAGATGCTCATATTTAGTGGTAAATAAAGCTAACACGACTCTGTCAACAGTGCATGCAGTTCAGGGCTCAGGGTTGGTGCTACTTTAGACAAGTCACCACCAGTTTGATGTCTGCAGGACTGAATCCAGCAGAACCTGACTAACTTGGAGAAAGATCAAGTGTTTATCTGGCTGGACAGGAGAAGGTGGCAGGCTGCTGACAGATGATTTCAGGCTCAATCCAAGATGAGACAAACTAGTGAAGCTGGCAGTAAAGGTCTAAAACCCAGCGACCGGAGACTGGTAGGTCTGCCTCAGAACTAACAGACGACTGGCACTCAGGGTGTCGGACTCCGTGGGCAACAGATGAAGCCCCTCCCCCCTCTTAATGAACACTCTGAGATTGAATCATCGAGTCATCGGCCGCTCTGTCACCTACATGTCGGGTTGCAGGCATTTGCTGCCCTCAGCTCAGGGCGCCAGAGAAACTTCTGCAGATTCCTGTTTATTGGAGAAATAAAGACCTTATTATCCAGGAACGAATCACAGCCGCCCCTTTTCCCTCCAGCATACTTGAAGCTTTTTCTTCCTGAAACACGAGCAAGACATGGAGCTGACGAAGCAGGCGGACGACTTGCACTAAGTTCAGAAGGGTCATGGCTTTTTAAAGATGAAAAACCTCCAAATGTGGCATGTTCTTTTGATGTTATGCAAAATCTAATGTCTTGAGTATGGTCTGAGTAGTCCGAGTTCTGTTTTTAATGCAGTATGTGTGACAATTGTAAAGATTTTGTGTACAATTTGAGATGATATATTTACTACACTGTACATACCTGTGATACTGTATCATTTTGTTTTTGTAAAGCAGGTAGTTTCTGTATCATAATACATATATTACAGTGTTAGTAATAAAAGGTTCTGCTAGTGCCTGACTTGGTCTTCTTTAAAAGTGGTGAAATACTTTTTTTTATTGATGTTTCCACCTGAGTCACTACATAAACTATAATGCAATGCAGCAAACACTCGCAGCTCTGATGTGGGTCTGATCATAAACATTTTATACGCAGGCACCTCATTGGACGCTGGCCGACGTGCCTTAGGTACGGCGGCCGGGAGGTGCAAACCAACATTACAAAATCTAAAACACTTTTACAAGTTCAAAAACAAATTATTTCAGATAAAATTACATAAAAAAAAATAAACAAAAAAATTCAGAACAAATAGCATTTTGAGAAAAACATTCGAGAAGGAAAGGAAAGATCTCGCCCTTACACTCCTAAACTAGCCTGACGTAGTCCTACTCAATTCTAGTCAGAATGAGTCTGATGCTGCTCCATAGAGC